ATCCAATATAAATAAAGTTAGTTTAGGTTTTCTCCTGTAGTAACACTGGATCAATAAGAGATGATCCTTAGTGGACCTCTAGGAAGAACAGTTTAGAACTGATAGAGCTATCGAGTATAAATAAAGTTAGTTTAGGTTTCCTCCTGTAGTAACACTGGATCAATAAGAGATGATCCTTATTGGACCTCTACTATCAAGCATAAATAAACTTTAGTTTAGGTTCTTTTTCCACAGTGCTGTCATGATGTGCCCATGTTTGTGCAAATCAGTGTTGACTTAAAATTTAATATATTCTATTTCCAGCTGAAATTCGAAGGTACAGTTGGCACAGCACCCACCTACCAGGGAGACATTGCCTTGGATGACATCTTCGTTAGCCAGGGGCGATGTCCATCACCCACCCCCACTGCCACTCCTAGCCCTTGTGCCATCAGGTGTAAGAACAATACCTGTGTCCCCGCCAATAAACTTTGTGACTTTGTCAATGACTGTGGATCCAGTGACGACACAGATGAGAAGAAGTGTGGATCATGCGATTTTGAGAATGGTAAGATTGGTATAGAACTCCCCCCTGAATCAGACCTCAAAATTAAATGTGTCCGGGGGGGTTGTGACATAACCTTCAATAATCATGTCTCGACATTTGGATGAAAATGGTACAATTATTCTTAAGCCTTCTCCCGACCAGCTGAATCTGATCTTAAAATTGTGACCAATGGGTTTCCATAGTAACAATGGATCATTGGTCCACCTCTAGAGCGAACTGTTTAAAACTGGTAGAGCTATAGATTATAATTAATTTATTTTAAGTTTCTTTTTGTAGTAACTGGACCAGTAGCCATGTTTCAATGTACAATAACGAATACAAACGCTCAGAGAGTTTATAGAACATTTTATTTCTTTCTAAGGTCTCTGTGGATGGAATGATACAAGTAGTGGAGTATTTGCATGGCATCGTGGTAGGGGTGGTACTCCTTCAAAAAATACTGGGCCTAGTACAGATAACACCAAAAGTAAGATTTAGTAGAACTGTACTGTATTGTTTTGCTCTGTAGTGTAGTGTAGTGAAGTGTACTGGACTGTCCGTACTGTACGGTACTGTACTGTCCGTACTATTTAAAACATGAGCAGCAGTGTTTTATCAGATATAAAGATACTAGGCGAAGCCGAATAACTTTAGGTCTGATAAAAACACGCACTGTTTTAAATTGCTTCAAAAATGATCGATCTACCGGGTGTCCCAAAAAAAAGTACTCCGGTTTGATTCGTAATAACTTCGAAACAGGTAAAGCTTTTAAAGAGAAATAACTTGGATCAAATAGAGGAAGCCCTAACTTAGATTTTGATATATTACACTTGTATTTCACTTAGAAATTCGCGGAGATATTAATGTTTAAAATCGGGAGCATATTTCTGGATGTGTCTGAAATATGCAAAAAACGGGGTATCAAATATTAATCAAGATTTGCCCGACTGAAGCATGCACTATTACCAGTAAATAAATGACACTTGACAAATTGTTTATTATGAAACAAAGTATTGTTATCTACAAAATACAAGGAAGATTTATTCGTCCGAAATCCGTGTGTGTTCCTATAGCACGAGTACGTTTCCTTAATTCATAAGACCACTGACTGCATCGCGAAGGATCGTCATGGATCGTTCGTGTTCTGAATTAGGGGATGCTGTCACAATGGAATTGTGAAGCTCTTCTAACTTTTGCAACGTTCTGAAATCTTGTTAAGAACACTCAATGTTTTTTGCTTTTTCTTAATCTTGGCAAGTTCAGAATAAACTAAGAATGAAACACAATCAAACCATACAACTCCATAAGACATAACAAGCAACTCCCCAGAGACATCCAACATTTTTGGAACAAAACGTAACAAAATAGTAGCGTTGATACTGTGATGTGTATTTGCAAAATGCAGTATTATTTCCTTCATTAAAAAATAATATTCATCCTGCTCTAATCGAGAAATATTCAACTCTGTTTTCAACCCATGAAAAGCATAAAAAATATAGGCTATTTAAGAAAAATTTAAGCGCCTGCCCTGAATGGTCTTTCATCTACCTTTAAGTTTGTATTAAAGACCTATTAAATACATTACGTTTATATTTCGTAATATAATACGAACGTTTATATTTCAGGAAACAATGAGCTTAGATGTAAGATGTCTAAATCTACGCCATATCCTTATACAATCCCTGACGACAATTCGCTGAAATACAAGTTAGCCTGATATGTCATTAAACAAACAAACGCTGGAGTTAATATTTGATATGCCGGTTTTCGCTAATTTTAGACACATCCCAAAATATGCTCCCGATTTTGAACATTAATATCTCCGTAAATTTTTAAGTAAAATACAACTGTAATATATCAAAATCTAAGTTAGTCCTTCCTCTATTTAATGCAAGTTATTTCTGTTTGATAGCTTTACTTGTTTAGAAGTTATTATAAATCACACCGGAGTACTTTTTTTTGGGACACCCGGTACAGTACTAAAGTGCCTTGCAATAATGGAGATGCATGGCTAAAGTCTCTTGCCTATGTGAATTTTCAAACATTTTAACCCCGCAAATTGGAAGGGGCACCTCTCTAATGGGACACCTCTCTTTGGTGGAAAGGTTTTTGTAGAGATGGAAATTCTGAGTGAAAACTATAATACTGTACATATTATAGAATTAATAGTGTTTATTTGCGGGCGGCGGTTGCCAAAACTATGGAAAAACAGCGATTCATATGAGATGTACAATATAGTACATGTAATACATGCTAAAAAAAGATACTGACGTACAGGTATGAACATTTTGTGCCCTAGCTTTCTTTATTGTTATTAAGATTGTGTTTTCTTTACAATTTTCTTGTTTAGAACCTGTTGAAGAAGCTGCTGTTACCAATCTCACTGTGAACTTTGGTCCACAACATCCTGCAGCTCATGGTGTCTTACGACTTGTTCTTGAACTTGATGGAGAGGTGAATATGATTTTATATTTTATCTTTCTTGTGCATGTATCCTTGGGAAATTAGCATGAATGTAATTAATTGACTGTTCATGAGCAGTCTGGTGTTTCCATATATGGACACCCATCTTTGACTGCTGTGGAAATTTTTTAAGAAATCAGTTTTTTTAAAACAAAGAGTTAAATATTGAGAATTAATGAATTATTGAATAAAAAGTGAGTTTTATTATGATCTTGAAGACCTTTCAATAGTTATCCCAAAAAAACAACAATTTGCCAAGCAGGTTTACCTGTACGGTGAAAAATTACAGGCTAAAAAAAAAGTAAAAATATTTAGACATGGCTTTATAAGTTACAGTACTTGATGTTTTTTGCGAAACAAAACTATAAATATTGACATGAAAACAGAGAATGAGAAGGTAAATTCTATTCAGTAATTTTTGCTCCGTGGTAACAAATAATTTACCTTTGGGGACTCAGCTGTTCAGGATTGATTGTAAACACAGATAATTATTACAAAATTGAGAAAAAATTTATACTGTACTGTATTCCTGCAAAAGCAATTGCCCTATCCTAAGCCAATTAGAATTGAGGATCTTTTTCATAAAAAGTATATTTACTAGGCTTGTACATATCAAACATGTAATGACTAATTAGTAAATGTATTTTTCTGACTACTGTAGACTGTAGAGAGGGCTGATCCACACATTGGACTACTTCATCGAGGAACGGAAAAGCTGATAGAGTATAAGACCTACTTACAGGTTTGTTAGTGTTGAAGTTCGTATGGAACGAAAAATAGTCATATTCTTTACCTTCACTGAATATTTCCCATATCCTCTTTTGATATTTATGACGGTTTGATATGAAAAAAAGCACATCTTTCTACATTTTACTGTTTATTAATACAGTTATAATTCATACATACATGCACTGATACCTATTTGTACAGTGCATATGTCGCGTTGACTTTAGGAGGGTACGTTATAAGTTCTAAAGATTGAAGATTCCATGGGGGACGTGACCTAGTTCGCTGCACTTTCCATAAATTTGTTTCCACCTCCCTCGCCATTTCCACTAAGATATGGGTCTGATTTCCAGTCAAAGGATGCTTTACCCCAACCAGCAGGGTCTTTACCTTCACACGGCGCTCTTTGCTGTAGCGCCGTGCGGAAGTAAAGACCCTGGCTTGTGAGGTTGGCTTTACCCGCGCATACATCCATCAAATCTTGTACTGAAATGAGTCGTTGTCATATGTAGGTCAGATGTATTTCGACTATCTTGCAGCATGTCAAATGTATTTTAATTTGCCTGTACTTTGCATGTATTTCCTAATATAATATTGTGTGATTATTCCTATGTAGGCCTTGCCTTATTTCGACCGCTTGGATTATATGTCTATGATGGCTAACGAGCAATGTTTCTCACTCGCTGTCGAAAATCTTCTTAATATCGAAGTCCCTGAGAGAGCCAAGTGGATCAGAGGTAAGGTGTAGGATAATATTTACTTTATATACACTGTAGAGGTGTGCAAATCCGATCCGAATCCGATCCGATCGGATTCGTTCGGATTTCGGATCCAAAATTTTCATATCGGATCGGATTGATAAAGTTGTTTCGTAGTCGGATCGGACTTCGATATCCGAAATAAAATAAATTAATTATCCACGCATTATCACAAGAATTAATTATCAAAGCATTATCGCGGTTGTCGCTGCATTATTCGTTTGATACTTCAATTGGATGTTACTTTGTCAGCTTCTTGACATGCATTTCTTGCTTTTATATTTATTTGGTTAAATATTTCAACTTGAATGAGAAATTTATTTTATTAAAGAATTCATCGGATCGGATTGGAATTCTTTATCAAAACTCGGATCGGATTCGGATTAGACAATTTCGGATCGGATCGGATTTTAAACATTAGGCAATTGTCGGATTATAAACGTCCAATCCGATACGATACACACCTCTAATACACTGTATGCGAACACATTTGGTGTTCAGTGGTGGCTAAGTAATATTTATAGCACGACTACGTACAGTACATTTTAATGATTTTATCATATTTAAAATACGAGGGCGTAGCCTAAGCTTTTTAGATATGATGAAATGCGAATAGGAGTGCTTTGAATATCTTCAAATACGACTCAAAATTGACGTTCGCCATTTTGAATATTATCAGGGGGTGAATGCCTCTCAAACGCGCACAGGCTAGGACCATGGCGTCGGCATTTTCATGACGAATTACGGTTACGCCCAAATCATAGAAAAAACCAAGAAGTCGGGCTTCTGTGTAGCCTATTCTGTGTTATTGCGCTTCTTGGGTCTTCAAATGTCATTTAACAGTTCTTTTCAGGAATGACCTTTATATTAATCATTAAATTCACTCCTTCACTTATATCGCTGTCTATTTCACTGTGTGGTTTGCCACCCAAAAATGACGGCCTAGGCCTGGTCGCATGGCGTGGGAAAGGCTAATTTTAAACTCTGTCTCGCGGCCACGCAGTGCCGTAGCTAAGCATGGTGCCTGGATACGAGGCAGCTTATTAATTGCATGTCTTCCCTGAGGGATAGGAAATATATGTTCTCACACTTTTGAAAAATATATATATATTACGGTAATCATTTGCCCTGCCCATTTAAACAACATTTTAATACAGCATCATACGTGAAGGAATGATTGTATGATACGGGCTTGAAACAATGAAACACAGTGTGAGGTGTTTTTGAATCAATATTAGTGAGCTTAAGCAAGTAACACGTCAACACGGACGTCACCCAAAATTGGTATAACTAATTTGGGCGGCATTTTGCATCATATAGCCCTCTTCAATCTTGTAAGGAAGGTATGTTTTGTCATATATTTTTTGAAGATTACCACGAATTAACACAAACACAGTTTTTAATCCAGTTTAATCCTCGGCAATCTGACGTTGGTGTTGACAAAAACGTCACTTAAGGTGGAGTAATACGGGCAACAAAATTGCTGCAACTTGCAACAAAATCTGATTTCTACGCATGTTAATTGAAAATGTGTACACATATATTACAAATCACGAGGCAACATGTGTCAACATTTCTACTTAACATGCGTTGAAGTCAGATTCTCCCTATTATAAATCACTGCGTCTGTGAGATAAAATTTCTCAAACAGACCAGTATGTAGATTCAACGGCAATATGAAAGTTAACTTGATTTATAAATTTTTATTTCCGTGGTATCACGACAACAACACGGTGTTTGTTTCTTGAATAAAAAAGTTGGTATAAATGTTATTTAGTGTTGTTTGGTGAGCTGACTCGTGTATTGAATCATTTACTGGCTGTGGGTACTCACGCCCTTGATGTAGGAGCCATGACACCTGTATTTTGGTTCTTTGAAGAAAGAGAAAAGGTGAATCCCCATCTCTCCAACATACATTTGTTTTAATTTATTTTTTTTAAATTATTAATTTTTTTTCGTCTGTAATTTGTCACTAATTTTAACTAAAGGGCCCACAATAATTGGTGTAAACTGTTGAAATAAAGAAATAAATACTAAAGTATGAAGTACTTGGTCAATAGAAAATTTATAAAATAGAATTTTAATGTAATTGAGTTACTACTGTATATGCGTGCACTATAAATTAGAAGTATTAGTAATATATCACATGTGTTGTAAATCAGTAATGTGTTGTAAATCAGTAATGTGTTCTAATGTCATGATTAGTATTCACGAGTACTCAATAAATTTAACAAAACAAATAAAAACAAAATATTTGTGGTTTTAAAATAAATACGTCGTCAATAACGCTTTACACTCGATTTTGTAGATGATGGAGTTATACGAGCGTGTGTCAGGAGCAAGAATGCATGCTGCTTATGTTCGTCCTGGAGGCGTAGCCCAGGTAGACTACACGTAATTTTTTAGAATGTGTGAAATTTGAGATCCACGTTTGAAACGACAATTAGCAATTTCCCAATCGAGCAGAGGAATGGGTCTAGTCCCTTTTTTGGAGGGACAAAAAATAAACAATGCCGAATATGGCATTTAGGAAGTTTTCCTACATTCCTAAAGTTACTTGTGCAGCCTGAAACGCAACAATTATAATAAGGCATGTTAGGCATCTTTTAATATATATTTAGCTCGCTCACTATAACTTGTTGTCCCTCCAAATATCAACTAGACCCATTCCTCTGCTCGATTGGGAATTGGCTATATACATGTCAAAAAGTAAACTATATTTCGATTACATTTTCTTGCCATAGGAAAAGCGTAAAGTATAATTTAGGGATGCATTAGATATTTTCCCTATATACCTGTACGTACAGTACATGTGCTTCTGATCAAATATGGTTTTCTGAAGCTTGCAAGGTGGTGACTGGTCACCTTGTTACTACTGTAATAGAATTATTCAGTACAGTAACTTACATTTCCTTGCAACGTTGTAAAGGATCTTCCATTGGGACTCATGGATGACATGTATGAAGTGATTCGAAAAATTCCGCAACGAATGGACGAGCTAGAGGAGGTAAGTACTACGGTATAACATGGATGGATTTACTGGGGTGGTGCAGGATTATACTATCAATTTGGAATGGCAATATCCTGCCACCATTACCACAATAATGCTCCTGAACACTTGGGGTTGGTAGTTTGACATTGCGGATACTGTATAGAAATAATTTAGGGCTCCTTTCCACTCATCGCAAAAATCAACTCGTAAGGTCGCTTCTTTCATCTAATTAAAATAAGCTATCGAGCGTTGTGATTGCATGAAAGTACCCGCAACGAACATTCGAGTTCACTCTTGCGATGAGTGGAAAAGAGGCTTCAGACTTTTAGATCTCTTGGAGACCTCTTGCATGTGTTGCAAAGAAATGAATCAGGTATCTACCAATCCATACATTACAGTTACCATGATTACAAAATATCATTCTGTTTCATTCACAGATGTTAACTAACAACCGTATTTGGAAGCAAAGGACAGTTGATATTGGCGTGGTTAGTGCCAAGGATGCACTCAACCTTGGCTTCAGGTAATGCCAGGCCACAAACTGCTTAAACCAACACAAATTCTTGACAGCTCGGTACCTGCTAAGTATATAAAGATGTTTGATACTAGCAGCGATCATCCAACCAAGTGTTTGTTAGATGTTGACGTAGTAAGGCCACAATAGACTTATACATAATGACGTCACAAGGCTTGGATGCACGCGAGGAATGCTGGTCTTAGTAGTCATCGCAAGGGAAAATTAAACAATTCAAAATGACCACTATCGACATTTTCCCGGTCATGACTACTTAAACCAGCATTCCTCGTGGGCATCAAGCCTTGTGACGTCATTATGCATAAGGTCTATTGCTCGTTTCTAACTATACTATACTATATTATACCATACCATACCATACCATACCATACACTATAATGATATGATTATATAACATTTTGTAATATAGATATAGCGGGCAATGCCATAAATTGGCTATATACGGAGTTTGATAAGCGAAAATCAAGGAAGCACGATCTAATAATTCGGATATTTATTTAGTTAATTTAGCTACTGTAGTTTATTTTGAAGTATTTTATAGCTTTTATTTAGTGACGACGAACTTTGGCAAGCATTTGTAGTTCATAAGATTCTACGTCTGTTGTAGTAAGCCGGCAGTGAGTCGCATTATGCATGATCTAGAGTCTCGAGCGAAGCACAACCGGTAATAGTTCGTCTGGACGTATACTGTAATGCCTCTCTGTATAAAAATTCGACCCACAGACAAAATAATTTTTGAAAAATGTGAGACGTATATAAAAATATATAAAGTGCAATTTAAACTTATTCATTGGATAGTTCGTCCAGTTTTTACAGTAGACGAGTGATATATTTCCCTTCAGACGCGGAATAATGTGTATGATAATCACTGCTAGGTTTTCCTACATCGTAGCAATTTTCTTTCTAGTAGAAATTTCTATGAAAATGAGACATAGCTACAGTAGTCTCTGTTCTACTGAAGCTTGAGTCGGAATCCCACTGGAACCTGGCTGTGACGTCACCATATGCATTGCACAGATAACCCAGACAGCAACTGAGAGAGGAGAGACTGGTACTAGACCACAAGAACCCCAGGTTATATAGCTAGTTGTGATAATTTTATATTTTTAGCCCGCATATAGGCTAAAAAAAGGAACTAGATTCGGTTCCGAAATATCACATACTTGAACCGACCTGACCGCGTAGCTCAGTTGGCAGAGCATTGGACTGGTATTCCAAAGGTCGTAGGTTCGATTCCCAACGTGGCCAGGCCATCATCTATGGGCCAGGCATATATTTCAAGCCTGCCCGGTGTGGATATACACTCAGAGTAACATCACAAGCGTCATATTCAAATGTAATACCTTGTCCAATGAGACGATATCCTGTTACTGCACAGCACCTACATGCCTCGGATGTATTTTGGCCGAATTTTGTCGTTCCTTCGCGGATTTTGAAGTGAATTTAAGCATCGTTGTTTTGAGAGTTGTATCTTTGTGTATGTTATCATTCTTGCCGGGGATAGCGATTAAATTCGGAAGAAATGCATTTAAGTCGAAAAATCGAGGAACGTTTTGGGCGCCGTATATGCAAGTATGGGATATTTTGGGCGCTCTGTTTCCGTCCTAGTTTTAATAGTAACCGCAAGAGCAGGCGCGCCGGCGACCCAATGCTATGCGGGCTAAAAAATATCACAACTATATAACCTGGGGTTCTTGTGACTAGACTGATGATAACCAGGCCAAACTCATTTAGTATTTGTCTTTGCAGTGGTGTTATGGTGCGAGGTTCTGGAATACAATGGGATTTACGTAAAGCTCAACCTTACGATGCTTATGATAAAGTGGAATTTGATGTTCCTATTGGTATCAACGGAGATTGTTATGATAGGTACGGTTTTATACTAATTATTATTAAGAGGCAATTTTTTTCAATGACACGTATTTGCGATGAAAAGTGTTCAAAACCTAAAATCTTTTTGGCGTTCCTCTCAAAATTACTTTGTTTTAGCTTTATTCTCTAGTTTATAGAGTTAGCAACCTTTTCAAATGCATCTGCCAGTTGAGGAACATAAAATAATAGTTAAAAATTGTCAATTAAAATACAATTATCAATGATGCTTTAAAATTGACGCCATATTTACAGCCATATAAGCCTGAAAACTTACTGAACTTCAGACATCATTTTCTCTTTGGCGTATCATCTAAAATCTCTTCATTTTAGCATTATTTTACAGATAAAGCACTAAACATACTTTTTAAGTTTGTTTGCCGATTGAGAAACGTATCGAAAAATAAAAATTTTGAATTTAGTCATAACCTCAAGTGGTATATTATGCACATTAGTTTTATGTAGGGCAAGGGAGTTTAAGCGAGTGGATCTATACATGTAACATGGTCTCCAAATTTTACTTCATTAATTTTACTTTGAATCCTTGATTCCTTAAACGAAGTTACAGAAGTTATTGAACACCAGTGGCGTGCTAGCAGGGCAGAGGGGCACCCCCCCCCCCTCCCCTGGCGAGGGTTTTTTAGCGGGCGCAAACGTTTTGGGGGTTCATTGCTGAACACCTATACTTCGCAATGTGACTGCATGCCTTTAGAGACTATATAGAGTCTACTTTCGTATATTTTCATTCAGTTAACACTTAGTATATTTCTCTATAGGGTCGTAAAATTTATCAGTGTGCAGTGCTTGTGCTAATTCCATTATCTAGCTTCAGTGAATTATATCAAATTAACATGTATATAGCATAGTGCATGGCCCAGTTTTATCTTAACTACTTTTGTAGTTAACTAATACTCTAAAATACGTGATTCTGATTGGCTAACTTTTCCACTATATTAACTACTTTTTATAGTTGTTCCAGAGTTACCGGTTACTGACCATGCAGTTAAAGTTGTTATGAAAGAATATACTACAAAAATATTCATTAATGTTGCTATGCCATAAGGGTTTACTTATGTTAACCGTGCCGTAGTCTCCCAGCAAGATTAAAATTTAATATTCTTACAATTTCTAGGTATTTATGTAGAGTGGAAGAGGTACGACAAAGCTGTGATATAATTATACAGGTAAACGAGAATCTTTTACTGCTCCTTTAATGTATTGCATTACAAAACATAGTTGCAGGTTTCGATATTTTCAATCATAGTGCGTGCATGCTTTTTATTTTGTGGTTTGCATGCTGCTGAAGCATGTGCTATAAATTAAAAACGGAAAACCCACGTAGTGCCCACGGGAATACCGGCGGGGCTTGTTATCGGTGAGTCCTCCAATCTCCAGGCTTGGCATAGAAACTGCGTCACGCGTTGAATTTCTTAGCAGACTTTACACTGTGATACTTTGTTAAATTCCTGCAGCATACTTGATGAGGGAACTTGGGCACGTTGTATTCAATGACGTATTGGTTAGGGTTGGGCTTTTGGTCTGGGTTATTTTATAGGCGTGAAATTACAAACTTCGCAAGTTATTAAGGATATATTAGGCGTTGTAACCAATAATCGTATTGTGGCTTACAACCAGGACCGCCGAAAGTTGTTGCGGGCCCCGGGGCAAAACTTCCCAGGGGGCCCCTATGACGCCATAATTGTAAAACTGGAGTAGCAGTGTTTTACAATACTGTATATTACACTTTATTGCATATTATCCGGCCCTAACGCAGCTATAGGATTTATACTCTCAGTTATTAAGCAATCTTGTATCAAGAAAAGTGCCCCGACCCCCTACGGTGGCTCTGCTTACAACGTGCGGATCGGCAGATTTCAGTAGCGTAAACTAATTTCCCTGGATCCTGAAGAGCCAAACAGCCGCTGCTCGCATCCTACAGGAATGAATTTCTCTGTATTGTTGTCATCTATAGTCTTTAAACCGTATGCCCGAAGGTGAAGTGAAAGTGGATGACGCCAAAATCTCTCCCCCGAAACGATCTGAAATGAAGGTATGAATCGCTAGAATTCTGCAGCTTTTTACTGGTAGCCAATTTTTATATGTGTTAATGATAAAAAATGTAGAACTTTTTTCTCGTTTAGATTTTAAATACTATATTTTCATGTAGACATGGCATGCATGTGGACATTCATGTAGACATGGCGTGGTAGTGCTCTAGTTTCTCTCAAATTGCATGATTGGCATAAAAATATTCCATTATACACATACAGTACACGTGTATTCCTTATACGGTATACTAATACAGTACATGTATGTAGCGTCAATGTTTAATGTCGATTACACATGGTGTGGGTGCCCATATACTCGACAACTGAGACCTAAGTATTAGTTTTTAATGAGGGAAGAAACCCGGAAAAAACATGAGTTTTTCAGTACAGGGACGTTTTCAAACCTGAGTAAATCCCGTACCCCAATGTAATCCTGAAAACGTGATCTGACAATATAATACAATATGTCAGACCAACCCACGTTTTGGTCGGACATGATCGCACACTAATTATTTATTGGACTCTAAAGAGAAAAATTGTACAGTACATTACATTATAATTTTTTCATTTGCATGTTTTTACGAGAATTCAGAAGAGATTATTGAAATTAATGAGGTAAAATGGACGGCGTAATGCTTGCGCAGGGAGGGAAATCAGTAGTAGGCTATATCAGCATTTGCTCGGGAAATGGTCTATCGCCGACTGTTATACTGCACACTATCCCTAACGGCCGGTGTCTCTGTCCCTTTTCTGGCAGCAGTGATAGCCGCAAAAGACATAAGATGCGCCTCATTTCCAAACTTGGCACTGTCCACCCCCTTGCATATATTAATAAACGTTTTCCTGTGTTTAGCTCTATATCTGTCTTTGCCTGACATTGTATATGTTGTAATTGTGTCTTTATCCCCCAGCTTCCATTCTCAAACCGCTGTATATTACATACCCTACCTTCGATCTAGGCTCAGAAAATCAGTTTAGCCTCACTCTGAATGCTTCAAACATGCCTATAGACAAACTTTCAAGCTTCCATGCAAACATGTTTCTAACGTTTTCTTCGACCGTATCATAAATTATTTTTAGAAATTAATAATTATGTATTTTATAGGAATCAATGGAGGCATTGATCCATCATTTCAAACTATATACTGAAGGTTACCAAGTACCGCCAGGTTCTACGTATACGGCAATTGAAGCACCTAAGGTAAGAATATTTTATATGTAATAATTAACAATTATAGGATGAGGCTGAGCATGATATCAAGAATTATCAAGGTCAATGTTATCTGCCGAAGGCTGAGGCGTATAACATTGACCGAAGTTTAGATAATTCTTGCATGATATCATGTGAAAGTCGAGTCCAATAATTGTTTTATATGCATAGATAGTGTATTTATCATCAAAACAGCCTTGACTATATCAACTTTAAGTATTTTGTCCAGTCGTACACAGCAAAACGATGGTTAAAACGAAGAAAGTGCATTGGTTTACGATTCAGTAACAACGTCTCGTTATGAGAATAAAACAGACAATGCTATATATGAGTATGTGCATGAAAGTCTTAATTTTCTAATTCTGCTGACAAGTTTTCGTGCAAAAACGTGCTTTACTCCTAGTTGATTTATATATAAGGCATCTATCTATTTCAAAGAGTGCGCCTAAATTGATATTCTTGAACAATTTCGAGCCTTTTATTATACACGCTCTGGAAAGTATACGTCACCTTCGCCCGAAACGGTTATATCGATATATCTTTGGTCATATCGATATATCTTTGGTCATATCATATGGAAATCGTGAATATTTCAGTATACACTTGTGGGTTGATGCTTCCTTTTTTGTTGTATGACTTTTGGGGAAGTGGGCTCCCAGAAGGATGCCCAAGTCATGTCTTTTAATGGTTAAGAGTAGACCTTCAAAAGCTGGAATTCAAAGATTGATTGATACGAGTTGAATACTTTATTTCGTTCATTTAGATTTATTAAAAATTTCGCCTCATAAATATATACAGGCTGGGTTACCAATTACTGCGGCCCCATCGTACTTCTACATCATCGTTCGTGTCCCGCCTGGGACTACGTACCATCTGCAGTGAAATTTTTAGTCATCTGCTTCGCCATAAACTGGAACTTGATTGATTAAAATGGAATTCTAATCTAATCCTTATTTTCGTTATAGTCGATTTCAGGAAACTTTGACCACAAATGTTCCGAACTTCGTTGCGAAGTTCAAAAGTTCATAATGAGATTCACAAACCAGTTTGTAAACTACGCATTTGATTGACTTCTCTTACACATTGGCTTGTGAATTCCAATATGAACTTCCGGACTTCGCAACGAAGTTCGGAACATTTGTGATCAAAGTTTCGCGAAATCGACTGTAATATTATTTCAACAAAAGCTGTCTGAATTTGGCATGCAAATTTTGGCATGCAAATTTACTGTTACAGCTACTCACTTGACTGTTGTATATTATACTCCTTTTTTCTTAGGGAGAGTTTGGTGTATATCTTGTTTCTGATGGCAGCAGCAGGCCTTATCGATGTAAAATTAAAGCACCGGGATTTGCACATATGGTAAGAGTATACTGTAGATGCTATCACCCAAACTACACAGAGTTTACTCCATCCCAAATGGTTGGCTCAATTTTTGAATTTTTCTTTTAATACATTCTTCTTGTTGAGGTATCATACATTTCATTATATCCTGCATACATGAACTTTAAAACATGATTTTCTGAAGTGATCATTTTCGACACTTTTATAAACACTGCTCAATCAGTCGAATATTTCAGTGTTCAAAAATTCAATAGGTATAAGGCAGACGCTGGCAGTAGCCATATTAGTATTCTTTATATAAAGAATACTAATGAGGACACGACTATAATGGATACTGCCTTAATATTATAGTATTCTTTATTATAAAGTATTAGTATTATAAAGAATACTAATTAGGAGTGTTTTATCAGGTTTAAAGGTTTTTTTCAGGTTTTATCAGGTTGTCTTTGTAGCCTCAATATATCGCCCACCACTGCATGATATTAAACAATGATTATCTTTGTCATACCGTAGTTGAAACTGATAGATACAATGGTGTAAATAAAGTTTACTTATATTTTTCTTAATTGTTGTTGCATCATCAATTCTGCATTTTTCAATAGTCTGGACTACATGAACTCAGCAAGGGTCACATGTTAGCTGACGTTGTGGCAATTATAGGTAAGTGACAAATTAGCCTTTTCCCAAAAGAGATTACAGGGCATTCTGGAATCGTTTGGAGGGACAAAATATATGATGACAGGCGTCAAATATGTAAAAGAGTAGAAGTATCTACTATCAAATATCAACCAAAAATGAAATATCTCCTTTTTACATTAACATGTAATTTAAATGTGTGCTGCCATATTTCTTGTCCCTCCAACATGGGATTTGTGCGACTAGAGCCAGGACTTTGGGAAATGGCTAATTATTGAAGATGGAAATTTCGAGTGACATTTTTATACATTTATTAGACCTAACCAGGGGCAGTTGCATGCTGAAAATGCAACTATCAGTCCTCTGGCAGGAATTGGGGCTGTGGTTCTGCGATCCCGGTGCAGCGCTCTAACAACTGAGCTACAGAGTCCAGTTGTCGAGCTCTAACCACAAGTTCATGTTTAGATACTAAGGTGATGCCAATAGACCCATTGCACTGACGTCACAAATCCTCAGAGTGTCCTCCAGATGCTCCCTAACAATATATCTATTCGGGTACAACAACCACATACAGCGCAATTAACTAATTAATACTAAAATTTAATACTAAAATTAACCATTTTAGTACAAAATTATTATAAACTTTTACAAAATTTGCTTTAAGTTCTTTGTATGTTTGCATGGTGATAAAATAATAATTTGCTTTGCAGTATTAAGTTTACGTGGTGTTTCCACAAACAAAACTATTAAAATTTGCTTTGTTTACAAAAGTTATATTATGCATAGATTGCTAATTTGTCCTCCAGATGCATCGTCACCGTCACTGTGACGTCATGTGCAATGGGTCTATTTACAGTGTATGTGTGTGTAAATATTAGGATTTTGGGTAGCCCGCGTGCAGGCCACTACCAAGTTCCCTTGAGCCTGCTCCCTTTATTGGGCCTGCACGCGGGCTAGGTTTTGGGCATCTCACTCGATATCACTAAAGCCTGTTTTCCACTAGGCGGAATTTTGCGTGCGGAGCGGAATTTTTCTTTGTCTTGTGATCTCTCGGGTGGAGCTAATTAGAAAAGACAAAGAAAATTTCCGCTGCGCGTGCAAAATTCCGCCTAGTGGAAAACCGGCTTAAAGGCCGTTTTCCACTAGGCGGAATTTTCCACGCGGAGCGGAATTTTTCTTTGTCTTGTTGATTTCTCGGGTGAAACTAATTAGAAAAGACAAAGAGAAATTCCGCTCCGCGCGGAAAATTCCGCCTAGTGGAAAACGGCCTTAATTGTTGAAGGGATTTGTAGATAAAAATTTCGAGTGGAATTTTTATTCATTTATTGCACCTGAAGGAGCAGTTGCGAAAAATACAACTATCGGCCCAGGAATCGAACCTACGGCCCTGTGACCGCGGGATCGCATCACGTTATCATTATTGTGTTGTTCGGTCAAGGTTTAAAAAATCAAGATCACGGACAGTCATTCCTTTCAGCCGGAATATTTCAAAAATATTTTAGATATGAAAATAGGTTAAAGGTAGTTCCGAAAGTTCCTACAAATGCGAAGAATTGAATATTTATTGGTAAATCCATTTCAGATTTGTTTTCATTTTGGTTTTGTGTTTCTAGGAACCATGGATATCGTTTTTGGAGAAGTCGATCGTTAAACCCTTGCAACCATTTAACAAATAAGGATGATTTACTTGACCATATAAGTATTTGTATATTTCTTTTCAATAAAAATGTTCAATTATTTTATCAGATGTACTTGCCTAAATTCTATATACAGTAGATATGCTATCTTCCCTTGAGTTTTGTATAGTTCGTAGCACGTAACCTCGGAGAAATGGGAGTCTTCGTAGCATCCAGAATATGTTTCATCGTTTTACGAATAACACCGTTTGTACAGCTGATGTTTAGTACGGCTATTTCCATTAATTAAGGTTGTTATACATGCATACATGTTATGTTGTGTTATTGTTCACTCGGTAATTTTCTGCTTGCGCGCTGTCTGGAAATTATGAAATATTTTGTATTTTGTATTTATTAAAATTCAATACATATAATTCCATATATTTACAAATATCAAATTAGATGTATTAGGGCATACCATAAACAGAATTCAAGATTCCCTCAAGAATGGTTTCCCAATTACAAACAGAACATTAAACTAACATCACAGGACACATAATACAAATAATTCCTAAATTATATAATTTTACAATTTCTAAATTAAAAGTCTGAATTATATATTTTTTTATATATTTTCTAACTCGAGAGCCAAAGGGAGTAAGATTTTTATACTGTAGTGAACATTTTCCCTGGAAAAAAGGATCATTATCATATAGGTTATGATATGTGCATGCTTAATTGTGTATAAAGTCGTATACAGTCTAACGATCCCCAAGTAAATTGGTGAGAGGAATTGTTAGTCTGGCATGTATTGGTTTTTATTATAACCAGGTCAGAGGATGCGAATTCAATCCTTTTGTTGTACTCAGAGTATGATTTGTACAGCAGGTACAAGGCATGGGTACGAGATTGCTTTTACAAATTATCTCCTCTGTGAATTGTGAACAGAAGGTAGTTTTGATTATACGATACTATAAATAACAGTTAGCAATATTAAAATTGCCCATTGTGATCTCCGCTCATGTATTGTACATCTGATCATTGCCTGTGACAATCTTATTAGAAATAACTAAATCTTTCATGCACTCCCTGTGCAGATTGCCAGCTTGCATGTTTCTTTGTTGCAACTTGTGCTGTTTATTTTTAAAACCTAATTGACACTAATTTTATAACATTTACGTCAAACCGCTTGCGAAAATATCTTGAAATAAATAATACATTGTGTCTGTGAAGAGTAGAGAAATTTAGCACACAGTGTTGTTTTGGTCAGAAATACTTTTCGGAAGAATGTCGTTTCTTGGTAAATTTCTTATGGAAAAACTGTCTTCATGTCTTTAGATTTGTAGCAACTAAAATCTTGTTAACTCACTCGTACATGTTCTTCCCAACTTGCACATGCACGAATAAGATACACTTAATGTCTGCTCCCGAGGGAAATAGTTTGTTTTGTTTTTCCGGGAGTCTCAATGTTTCCCGAGACGAAGTCGAGGGAAACATTGAGATTCAAGGGAAAACAAAACTACCTATTTCCCGAGGGAACAGACATTAAGCGTCGACCAAAAATCAAACGAAAAAAAATCAAACGACCAAAAATCAACATTCAACAACATTCATACAACAATTGTATTTCATGACAAAAACTCCATAGAGTAAACGAGTTTAAAATTAAAAGAAATTACATAAACGGTTTCAGCAGCATATCCTGTTGCCTGTTGTGTATTTTTCTTCTCTTTTACATTCTTTATTTGGACACAAACTTGGAAAATCGTAGTTTCTAATTATGCTAGTTGTGCCGCCATTTTGTTTATTGATGTACGTATAGTCGGTCGGCTCTGGCCGGTCGGGGCGGACAACAATTTTTCACTTGTCCAGCGGGATACATTGCATTTATGTGAAGTCACGTGACCACAAATCAGCCAATCATGTTTGGTGTTCACCCTAGCTATATAACAAAAGGAATTAAACTATGCTGTATAGTAATTATTCCCCAGCGGCGGACATTTGGGGGTGAAAAGGGGATGGGTGGCAACCGCACCTGATAATAAATCCTAAAAAGCCTTGAAATAGGGGTGACCTTAATTTGCGCGTAAAACAGCAGGTATGAATTTATAACACGAATGAAAAGATGCTGAGTGGAAAAAATTATGAATTTTTGGTTTAATTAAAGGGTATGAGCAACAAAAAATTTTATTGCTTTATCTGAAAGAGCATGAAAAAATAGACCCGATTGTACGGTGGCCCAGACGCGACAGCACAAAAACAGTTTTTGTATTTTTTGATTTTTTGATTTTTGTATTTTTTGATTTTTTGATTTTTTGATTTTTGTATTTTTTGATTTTTTGATTTTT